GATAATGCACGGCTGGTGTTGCCTGGGCTGGGGAGACATTTTTATTAAAAGATGAGGGGACTTGATGTTGACATGAATGAAACTTGAGTGGACCCACTTGAGTGGATGTTGGTGACTTTGTACTTGTAGGGACCAAAAAGACCCATCACCTTTCCAAAATGACCATGTTGATATTTTTCTGAACCCAGCAACAGTGTAATTACTGTATCTGCTTCTTCTGGTTGCCCAGGAGGTCAAAGGCTGGGAGAAAGCCATTGGCTGCTACAGAAATAGAGGTACTTGAAACCCCCCAAGGTTGAGGTTGGGGGGTTGCTATCATGTGTGGAACCGCAGCTTCACTGCTGTCCTCTCTATTGACTTTGTTAGCGGACTGACTGTCCCTCCCAGACACTCGAGCAGCCCCCCTGCCCCCGGCCAGCCCCAGGTCACTGAGGAAGCCCTAGAATTGTGACTTGCTCCCTGACTGTCCGCTGCTTGCTCTGCTCCTCACCCCGAGTAAATTAAGCTATGTCCCCTCTTGGAGCCCCGGGGTCCTCCCCCACAGAATGTGAGCCGAGGACAGCCACCCCACTGGCCCTCGGCATGTCGAGCTTAACCACAGAGCATGAGGGGGGACATGGCAAGAGAGACCCTCTCTGCAAAGGTGTGGTGTTGATGAAGACACAGACCTCTTGCCCGTAACCACTGCGTTTTCTCTCCTTTGGGTCCAGGCTGCTTTGAATGCTGCATCAAGTGTCTGGGAGGAGTCCCCTACGCCTCTCTGGTGGCCACCATCCTCTGCTTCTCTGGGGTGGCCCTGTTCTGTGGCTGTGGGCATGTGGCCCTCGCGGGCACCGTGGCGATCCTTGAGCAACACTTCTCCACCAACACCAGTGACCACGCCTTGCTGAGTGAGGTGTAAGTACCTGCTTCCCCGTAGAAATGTATTTGAGATGCGACTACCCCTCACTCCCCGCATCTCACAGCTTGTAGGTGTCTTGTGCTGGTAAGAAACTTCTCTACCAGACAGAGAAAGGCCTGAATGAATTCGCATGGAACAGTAATGGAATGATGATGCAAGTCCTTAGGGAATGTTATTCTTCTTTTATCCGTTCGAAAGACATCCAAAGAACTGCGCAGGGGTGGGGGAGGTTGTAAGGAAGATCAGCCAGGGCGAGGGCCTTGCTGAGGGCCAACTGTGTGCAAGGAAGACCAAGAGCTAGCTACCCAAAGCGAGCCTGGGCGCGGTACACTGATCTACCTAGCTAGGGATCGTGATCACTTGCAGGGACAGGCAGCCTCCCAAAAGGCCCGTGCCCATGCCTCCCGGGCGTAACGAGAGTGGCCGTGCAGAGCTTAGCTCCTTACCGAAGCCCTGCGTGCTTACCTAGGGGGTCCCGTCAGAGTAACATTGATCTCTGGGCCCGCTTGGGAGGTGTCCTGCTGCGGCGGGAAGAACGTGCGTCCTTAGAGCAGAGCTCCCATGCCGGCTCTGCCCCTGACTGCGTGCCCTCGGAGGGGAAGCTCAGCGTGTCCGTGCCTGTGGTTGCTCGCAGGCAGAATGAGCATTCTCCCCCTCAGGCCCCAGGACGCGGGTGCGTGCGGAAAGATGACAACCGGGCCTCCGCCCCTGACCAAGCAGCCTTCTCCCCGGCCCCAGAATGTGGTCCATCTCAACCCTGGGCCTGCCTCGGAAGAAGGGCCCAGGTTGCTGGAGGGTGGCCAGGGGTGCCTGCCCGGGATGCCCCGTGAGCCCGCCGCAGCCATCAGCGGGGTGGGAGGGGTCACGGGACGTGGCTTGGTCTCATGCCCTCCCTCCAGAGGCCCCAAACGTCTTCTCTTCGCCGTGTGCTGACTGTCACTTTTCCGGATCTCGTCCTCCTTCCCGCAGAATACAGCTGATGCAGTATGTCATCTACGGGATCGCGTCCTTCTTCTTCCTGTACGGGATCATTCTGTTGGCCGAAGGCTTCTACACCACAAGTGCGGTGAAGGAGCTGCACGGCGAGTTTAAAACCACTGCCTGCGGCCGCTGCATCAGTGGGATGGTGAGTCCGAACCCCCGAGTGTCTGGCTCGCACCCGGAGCCACGCCTCTGGCCAGTTCTTTGTGTTTGGTGAAAGCCGGGAGACCATCGAGCACGGATGGAGAGTCCGTGACACAAATGTCCCCACAGTGTTGGAGGTGGGAGTATCAGAAGAACCTCCAGCTTGTTAGCGATAATAAGTTAAAACATCTGGCTGGAGTAGTAAGCATTGCCCTTAGGAATCGACAGGCAGTAGGGGCGCCGAAGGGTTTTCGAGTAGGAAGCTGTCCCTGTGAGAGGACGGACTTCCGTGTTGTCTCGGCACCCCCTCGCGTCTGTCTCTGACTGTGGACTGTGGCCCTGAAGACGGTGTACTGTGGTAAGTTGTCACACTCCTCCTGGAAGTACCAGGCGCTTTTTCTACTGAGCACCCGGCTGGGGATTTTGCTGGTCGCTGGGGGGGGGGGGGGGGTTTGTCCCCAGGAAGCTCGTGGCCACCTCCCGCCCTTGGGCCCAACCCGGCCTGCCATCTGTTTCCGTGCGGCCCACGAGCCGAGATACGGCTTTGTGTCCTGAGATCGTTGGGGAAGGTTATACACGGAAAGGCAAGGAAACTCCCGTCTGGGCGGCCATGGTTTTGTTGGCAGCCGGCCCCCTCCGTGGGCCGATGCGCCGTGGGCCTGTGGCCACAGGGCCCCGCGCGGCCCCGCGCTGACCTCGGCGAGCCGGGCTGTCGGGCGCCGCGTCACACGCACCGACCCGGCGGCGGGCCGAGAGGCCGGGAGGGAAGAGGCGCGTCTGGCGTGGGCCACGCCGAACCGGGGCTCCGAGCGGTGCGTGCGCGTCACAGCGAGCGGCCGGCGGCGTGGCTCCGGCACGGGACGGAGCGGTCAGATGTGAGGAGAGCCGTCGGGAGCCCAGGGAGCGGCACTAGCGCCGGGGAGGACAGCCCTGGCTGGCTGCAGGAGGCCCTGGGCCCTGGGCCCTGGGGGGGGCGGGGGGGGGGGACCGGGCGCCCGGGCTGCAGGTGTGCTGGGCGCCGCTGCAGCTCTCTGCTCTCGCTGAAGGGAGGGCGCAGGGCGAGCCCAGCATCCGTGACAGTCCTCCTGAAAGGGGGCATGCAGCTTGTAGTGTGTTTGTGACCGGGTGCGGCCCTGGGACATGGCGCCCAGCAGGCTGCTCGAGGTCGGCCCTGTCTAGCGGGGGGGGGGAGAGTCGTGGCAGCTGCTCATCCCCGGAGGGACCCTGGGTCCTGAGGAAACTGCTGAAATGCCCTGTCCCGGCTGCTTCCCCGTCTGGCCCTTGGTTCAGAGTCCTTCGCTAATCGCCTGGGAACAGAAATGCAGACGGCTGCCGAGGGCAGAGAGGCACCGATGCCGCACGCTCAGGAAGGGGGGGGCTTGGTGGCAGCCTCGGGGGAAGAGGAACCAGCAGGAGCAGGGTGGAGGCCCGGGGTGCGTGGATGCTCCCGCGAGCCAGCGGTGTGCCCCAGCTGGAACAGAAGGGTCTAGTGATGAAGGATGGAAGTGACGCTGCTAGGGAAGGGGAGAGAGACCAGATCAGGAAAGGCCTCGAGTGCCAGGCTAGGAATCCAAGCACCAACACTGAACAGGGCGTGCTCGCATCCCGTACACGAAGGACCGGGGGGCGGGCGCAAGGCTCCTGTAGCAGAGCGCAGAGCGGGGACACGGTCCGAGTGGGGGTGGGCTGGTGAGCTGGCCACCAGGACGGCCGTGGCACGGATGAGCGGCCCGTCTCCAGCTGGGCCGTGTGTCGGGTGGCTGTGTGCGCTTCCAGTGTTTCACCATCGCTAGTGGCTCTCGGGGCGGGGGGGGGGGGTACAAAGAGCATCACCGAGAAACCTGAGCTGGGGTTTCTGGGAACACTCGGGCTGGAAATGACAGAGACTTGTGGTGGGTACAGACAAGGTGACACACAGAGCTTTGTGGAGGAAAGAGCCCTGGGGCACAGCACGGTCTCCCAGGAAGACCCAAGAAAAGGAGGCCTCATGGGGGAACTAAGGAGAAATGGCCAGAGATGGAAGGACTGTCCTAGGGTTCAAGGAAGGGGCCAAGGACATGCCCCCCCGCCAAGGGTGCAAATAATTTGATATAGCCTTGGTTACCTATCTCCATGTCACTCTTGGTATGAATGCCCACCTCCCTGTCATCTGAACCTCCAGGCGACAGCAAGTGGCACCTCTGGGGCTGGCATCTCTGACTCGGTGAGCTCTGGAAATTTCTCTGGCAAGCCCCTCTCCTTCTGCCTGGGCTCCGCCCTCCGGCAGGCTCCCACACTGCCCGTCCTGTGCTCCATCAGGGGCTGGGCCAGTGCTTAGTTCCCACAGCACGACTACAACCAGCCTGGAACTGTGACAGTCTTCCTGAGGGCAGGGCCGCCAGCTGGATGCCCGTGTGGACAACGCTCCTGCGGGAGGCCGGGGCCTAGGACCCCCCCCCCCGCCCAGGCTCCGGAGCCTCTCTGTGCCCTGTGACTCTTTCACATCAGTGAGGTCTTGCACCATGGCCAGGCGCTGCTCTGTGTCGCAGTCCCGGTTGGCATCAGCCAGGGGACACGGTGCCATGTGGGGCCGGGTGGCACCATGTGAGCTCACCTGAATGACAGCACGTGGGACTTCAGACTGGTGCCATCGGGCTTTCGGCCTCGGCGGGGCCCCTGCAGAGTCCGTGCGTGCGTCCCCATACATGCGTGCTCTCCAGAGTGGCACTGGCGGGACGAACAGTGTGCTCCTAAAACTACCTACGGCAGTGAGGCCCCCGCTCACTTGTTTAACCATTTCGTTCTTGGGTGATGGGAACCCCTCCGATTCTACATCCCCTGTTGGATTGTCATTTCTGTTTGGCTTTTTAAGGTGAAGTCCACGGAACAAGGGAGTAAATGCGTTTAAAACTCACAGTGCAAGCTCTACCTCGATAAAGCTGTTATTTAAAGAGAAAAGATGTGACTATTCAACTTGGGGGAGTGCTTACTTTGGGGAAGGAAGCAACTGTAGGAGGAGAGAGAGAAGTCAGGAGCCTAGGGGAAAGAGCAGCAGAAAGTAGATGTGTGTGGGGGACCTCGGGCCACTTCCCCCCCTCACTCAAGGGGGCCCGTTTCTGCCTGGACTCAGGGCACACCTGCCTGGTGTTGAACATTTTGAGGATGGAGTCTTCGTGAAGTCACTCAACGAGGCGGCCGAAGGACTGGGGTGGCCCTGATCCCTTGGCAGCCCGTGTAAGCAAACCAAAACTGAAGCCAGAGCCGAGGCGCTAGAATCCCAGAAAAGGAAACTTGAGAACCACGCCTCCTAAACAGCCCAGTAGGCTTTCCCAAATAAGACGGCTGCTTCATAGGGTCTGAGCTGGGCTTCCAGGTCTGCTAGCCGGCGTCCCTGGGGCCCCTCGCACTACTTTCAAGCTGGTGCTGCCCCAGTGAAATGGATGTATGCCCAAATACATCTTCACAGTTCGTGAAACATTTTAACGTGCCTCAGTTTACCTCGTACCAGGTGTTAAATAGGAGGATGGGAGAGAGTGCCAGGAGCTTGTGCCAGGGGGCTAGGAGGGAGAGCACCTGGGCCTGTGCTTGCAGTGGTTCTTGTGGACGAGGCACGAGTGTGCACGGGGGCTTCTGGCCCAACATGTCAGGCTCCCCCCCCCCCCCCCCCGCCCCACCAACCAGCATAGCTCACTTTTACCTCTTTTACGTGTTCAATTTTATTGAAGAAAAGCTCTGTTCCCAAAAAGTTGAAAAGCCACGCTGGGCACCTTGAACACGGTCGGCTTCATACAGGCGCCCCTCGCTTTACTGTACTTCATTACGCACGGAGGGTTGCGGCAGTCCTGCGCCCAGCAGGTCTGTCGGCGCCATTTTTCCCAAGGTAGTTGCCCGTTTCGTGTCTGTCACATTTTGGTGATCCTTACATTTCAGACTGTTCTGTTATTCTGTTTGTCGTGGTGATCTTTGAAGTTGCTACCAGCAGTGCTTTGGGGTGCCCCACACCGCACGTATAGAAGATGGCAAACTTAACTAATACATGTTGGATGTGGTCTTCCTGCTCCACGGACTGGCCATTCCCCCCACCCCCATCTTCCTCCCTCGGGCCTCCCTATTCCCTGAGACACCAAAGTATTGAAATCAGGCCAATTACTAACCCTACAGTGGCCTGTAGGGTTACAGTGTTCAAGGGGAAGGAAGAGTCACGCGTCTCTCACTTTCAACCAAAAGCTAGAAGTGACCAAGCTTAGTGAGGAAGGTAGGTCGAGAGCCCAGACAGGCCGAAAGCTAGGCCTCTTGTGCCAAACAGCCAAGGAGTGAATGCACAGGAAAGTTCTTAAAGGAAATGAAAGGTGTTAGTCCAGTGAACACACGAGTGATAAGAGACAGTTGTAGTACTCTGGACAGAAGGGCAAACCAGCTGGAATGTTCCTTTAAGTCAAAGCCTAATGCAGAGCAAGGCCCTAACTCTCTTCAGTTCTATGAAGGCTGAGAGAGGTGAGGAAGCTGCAGAAGGGAAGTCTGAAGCTAGCAGAGATTGGTTCGTGGGGTTTGAGGAAAGAAGCCGACTCCATAATATCAGAGTGCAAAGTGAAGCAGCACATGCTGATGGAGAAGCTGCAGCAAGTGATCCAGAAGATCCGGCTCAGGTGACTGGCAGACAACAGGTTTCCCATGTAGAAGAAACAGCCTTCTACTGGAAGAAGATGCCCCCTAGGACTTTCACAGCTAGAGAGAAGTCAGTATCTGGTTTTAAAGTTGCAAAGGGCAGGCTGAGTCTCTTGTTAGCAGCTGGTGCCTAAAAGGGCTACTGATAAAGCAGTAGTACCAGTACTGGAGAGGATTAAGTCCATTTCTGAAAGAAGTTCTGTGGGTAAAATGCCATCGACCAGCATGGCATGCTGCAGAGAAATCCTGAGTGAAAGGAAGAGTCACCGATGCGACGAAATTCATTGCTGATCAGCCAGCAGCCAGCATCAAGCATCAAGCCAAGACCCTCCACCAGCAGGAAGACTGACTCACTCAAAGCTCAGATGACGGTTAGCAGTTTTTAGCAATAAAGTATATTTTCTTGAAGGTCGGGACCTTGTCTTTTCTGGACCTAATGCTCTTGCACACTTAACAGACGACAGTATAAAGAGAACTTTGCACTGGGAAACCCCAAAACTAATTTGACTCGCTTTCTTGTGATGGTTTGGAACCAAACCGCGGTATATCGGAGGTATGACTGGACCTTCAAGGGGACCATGGAACAGACCTGCCTTGGAGCATGTTAGGAAGTCGGAGGTGACCGGGGAGCCCTGACGACAGCTGGGGCAGACGTGCTCCCAACAGAAAGCTCTGTGAGCTCTGCCCACCCGGGACAGCAGAGCTGCCCTTGGTTCACGAGCGTGCCTGGTGCTCGCCCGTCCCTTATCTACTGCTGGGCAGCGCACTCAGGAAGCGCCTGTGAAGGCCTAAGGCCGACGGGCCAGGAATGGTCCGCAGGGGACGCTCTCCACAGGCCTGCCCTGCGGAGCCCTGACCACCACTGGAAGGCAATGTTCACGTCTTTGTGGAGTTATTAAGAAGAAAGCATTCCTTTGAAGGGTGGGTAAGCAAACCCAGCCTCGCATCCATAAGCGCAAGGGCAACAGGGAGTGAGAAACGGCCGAAATCGGCTTCTTTGAATATCTTTAGAAATGCAAACGCTTCTGTAAGTACGAATGCCCTTGCAATAAAAGCAAAAGCACTGCCCGACTTGGGCCGGGGACGGCCTGTGTGAGCCAGCCCCCCCAGGCGGACCTGAGGCCCTCCAGCTCTTCCTTGCAGGATGGAAAGTGAGTGTGCAGGTCTTCAGCACCGCCTGAAAAAAAACAAAAGCCAAATTAGATTTCCAGCATGTCGCCCACAAGCTCTGTGGGTGCATGTTCTGAAAATATGAATACCATGACATGCCGTTTTTGGAACAGCCTTTCCACATTCTGTGCAAACTGGCCGTCAAGGCAGGTTAGGAAGTAAAGCGAAGCCAGAGGACGCCGTTCTTCCTGAGGCCGGCCGTGGCCCTGTGTGCGGGACAGGATGGAGAACGGCCGTGTGCGCAGAGCTGCTGTGAATCTTCCAGACGAGAAACTGGAGAGGGAGATGGGAGTTGTATCTGACTCTGTGTTCAGGGCTATTCTGGACTGCTCCCGAGCGCGCTCAGTGATTTCTCGGGACTGGGAAACCAGGGACGTTCCTTTTATTTTGGAGAAAGGGCTTCCTGTTGCACTTGTCACCGTGCTACGCACACGTCGTAGAGAGTAAAGGCCCATGAAAGCAGCCCGACCCCCGGCACGGTAAGTATGGGGAAGAGTGGCAGGGAGGCAACCACCACGAATTCGCTCCGCAACCTTGGACCAGGGAGGTCGCGGCTGGGGGAGCCGACTCCTGAGAGGGGGACCAGCACAAAGTCCCTGAGGTGGCTTGGGGCAGTCACATTCTTCTAGAGAGCATGACGGCCCTGGCCCAGCCCTCGCTGCTCCTCTCCCTTGGCACTTTGCCAGTCGCTCTGGTGGCCCAGGTGGTGCCGGGAACGCAGGCCACGGGTTTGGTATCCAGCCAGAGCTGTGGAAGCATTTCGTCCCCGGGTGCTGCGCCCTGCCCCCCTCGGTGATGATTCTTTCTCCTTCTCGGCTTAGTTCGTGTTCCTCACCTACGTGCTGGGAGTGGCCTGGCTGGGCGTGTTCGGCTTCTCCGCCGTGCCCGTGTTTATGTTCTACAACATCTGGTCAACTTGTGAGGTCATCAAGTCACCCCAGACCAACGGCACGGCCGCTGTGGAGCAGATCTGCGTGGATATCCGACAATACGGTACCGTCTCCTTTCGTTGCCCCGCTGAACCTCTGCCCTCTTGTGCAGTCGTCTGCACCTTAGCCATTACATGGGTGGCTTTTTTTAATCATAGTGATCGCTGTCATACGTTCTTCTGTTGGAATAGTACATACTCTTAACATATGCTCTGTTTTCTGGAGGGAAGTATCACTTAGGCTCTTGTAATGCAAATTTTTGTTGCATTTTCAAATATGTAGTTAAAGGAAACTTTTTGAACTATATTATCAAGGAGCAGTGCATTATAACCAGACTTCTGGACATCAAAAGATGACAGACTTTTTTTTCCCAATTTCTTTTCAGTTTTGTACCATTCAACTCTTTATCCCAAATATTGTGTATACACTGTAGTCCAATTAATTTCCATGTCCCACTCTTCAAATCCGGTCTTTTAAAATGACCAACTGCTTAAACTTCATCTGTCCTGGAAACCACAACAAAATCCAGACATATTTTAAAGTCATCAGACTGAACGCTATAAAAGCCGGCTGTTGGAAACCCCTTCAAACCTATTTTCTAATGAATGGGATACTCGCAATAGGCAGCTAACGTTGGTTCATTTTGACAGGTCCCAGAAGGGGGCCATTGCTCCTCCTGTCAATTAAACGGAGAGGCAGCCTCCTAAGTAAGGAGTTTAATGAGTGCTTCTTGCCAAGATGCTAGGGACTCCTGTTCCTGGCAGAAACAGCGAGATGGGGGTGGGGGGACTTTTCATTAAAATTAAAGACAAGATTTCTCGGGAGAGAGGACTATTTCATTTGTGATTCTTGTTTTTCCCATGTGGCTTGGCTTCAACATCTTCTCTTACAACCTAATGAGAAACTTGCCCAGGACTGCCCATTGGAGTACTGTTTTCTCATAAAGAGCAAGGTTCAGCCTCACTGGTCTTCCTGGTGGTTTGAAAACAGAGCATAAAGATGATTTTTTAAAGTAAAGTATTTGTAAATATCTAGATGTATATCATTTCCTTATTCTTGAATATTTTCACTAAACACTTTTGGCCATCAGTAATCCTAGTTTTAAGTCTTCTATATTTGAAATCACTGGTTTCACTGACCCCATGAGGATTTGTCATTTCCCATTCTCCTAAAGCATCTCTTGGCCCATGGAAGGGATAAGGGACTTTTTTTTTTTTTTTTTTAGGTTTATTTATTTATTTGACAGAGAGTGAGGGAGGCACAGTGAGAGAACACAAGCAGGGGGAGTGGGAGAGGGAGAAACAGGCTTCCTGCCGATCAGGGAGCCCGATGCGGGGCTCAATCCCAGGACCCTGGGACCATGACCTGAGCTGAAGGCAGACGCCCAACAACTGAGCCACCCAGGTGCCCCAGGAATAAGGGACTTTTTAAAGAAACCCTTCCTTACCTCCTGGGAGAAGAGTAACTCAAGCTGTGTTTAATATTTAAAAGCACACACCTACTACGTGGTGGCATGGAGAACAGCAACCCAGTGGGCCATGGCGTGGTAGAGAGGAGTCAGGGTTCCAGTGGAAGACACGGGGTAGAGGGGGGAATGGACTCCACAGTGTTTCCCTTTTTAAATTTCCAATTGGATTTTCAATCCCAATGAAAATGAATATAAAAGACCTACAAAATCCAAATTACCTATAGACTCCCAATTTTGGGACTGTAGTAGGAAGTCCATGGACTGGGAAATGCTGGAGGAGAGTGGTTGTTCTACAACTTTAATTTTTACAAATAGGAGGTCAACTAAAGCAAGCACAATTGGTAGGGAAAACAGATCCAGTCTTAAGGCTCTTAAGTTGACTTTGCTCTCGTGCTGCTGTCTAAACAGCCTGGTCTGCAGAGGACAGAGCTGTCGAGTGTTGATGAGGACCAGCGAGAGCACGGGGCACTGTGGAGGCCACTACTAACTAACATTCTGTTGGGATTCACTTCACAGGTATCATTCCTTGGAATGCTTTCCCTGGGAAAATCTGTGGCTCTGCCCTTGAGAATATCTGCAACACCAACGAGGTAAATCAACCCTTCTCCTGTCAGGGCCTGGACACGGTCACTTGGCAAAGGAGGCTGAGGAAAGGGCCCTCTGAGGTAGAAAGAACAGGAGATGGTGCAAATGCTAGTAAGGGAAGCTTTTCTTTGCAGATTTTTTAAGATCAGTCTGTCTTTACCCACATTCATCCATTTTTTTACCTAGAAAATGCCCCCTTTCCCATGGTCCAGCCGGTTCAGTGAGGATCCTTAGCACTCAGAGAGCTTTCTCCTTGGGCGATAATTTGAGAGTGATCCTGGTCTCATCCATCTGAAAATACATGTAGATTCTTTTTCACCTTCACATAGCTTTTCAAAGTAGGACATTTATCACAGAACAAATGCAAATTAATTTTCATAGAAAAGATCCCCTTGAATTTGTCTAGAAGCCCAGTTTCTCTAAATCTAATCACAGTTGATCACTGCTTCACTCTTAACTAGCAGTATATCCTAACCCACTTTGGTTTAAAATCAGACCTTAGAATATTCTTTAGGCATTGGTTTATAACTGTTCATAAAAGAACATTTTTTTTTTTAAGTGCACTAGTGGCAGCTTGCATACTTAAGAGCATCCTAGCCTGCTTTGGGAAAGCAGTGAAGTTACTGAAATGTTAGCCAGTTTGCGTATCCATACCAGGGCCTGGTTCCAAGCAGGGGCACCCAGAGGTGACGGCACAGAGCAGTCATCGAGGAGAATTATACTCACGGCGGAGGCCCGGCTACTGCCATTGACTTGGTCATGGGTACAGCCCGGGCATCAGAAAGCAGCCCCGGAGGAGACAGAACAGGGGCAAGCCTGTTCCTTCCACAGCCAATGCTCACCTGGTGCCCTATTCTTTCCTAGTTCTACATGTCCTATCACCTGTTCATTGTGGCCTGCGCCGGAGCTGGTGCCACCGTCGTTGCCCTGGTGAGTAACAATGGCTCCAGGCCCGGCCTAGCACAGGTCCCCTCCCTCGAGGCTCTAATGCCAGATTTGCCTTCCAGCCATACCCCTCCGGAATGCAGCCCTGGTTCCATCTCACCTGTGTGTAAACTTACCCCAGGGCTGGAGTGCAGGCCGTCCTGGTTGCAGGTCTGGGCCCGGAGTACACGTAGTGGGATTTGGATTCTGTGGGAAGAAGAGAGGGTGGCTGAAGCTGGGCCGCCCGTTACCCAGGCCTGGCCTAGGCCAGGGGTGCATATTTCGCCCTGACTTGTAGGACTTTGGTCACTGACAGCTATTCATGGGAGGCATTACCCATTTCTTTGCCAAGAAATCTTAATTTCCAAGTGGAAATAGGTATTTATACACCTACCTACCTGTATGGTTGATCTTGTTCTATAAAGTCTCCTCCAACACTGAGCCACTGTTTCTAGAGGGAAACACAGAGTTCATTTTCTGCCAGCGCCTGGTCACATTTTTTGTCAAACGGAACAACACCTAACCTTGCTTTATGTGGTTCTGTTCAAAGACATCTTACTGAGTATAGACCACAGCTGTATTAACATTGAACTCCCGGTTCTAGCAGCCCCGACCTGAGCCTTCTTGCTCTCTGGAGACCATCGAGAGCCCTTCATTCAGCACTACGGTTAGGAAACCTGTAAAGAGCAAAGTCACAAAACTGCAAAAACCCCCTAGCACTAACGAGCCTGCAACAAGGCTGCTTGGTTAGAGTCTGAGACAAGCAAGCAGCGTGGGGCCTTGGTTGACCGCAGCTGGGAGGCTAAACCTTTGCCCCACTCTGCGTGTCCACCAGTGACCATGGCCGTGCCATAAGCAGGGATGGTCGCACGGAGGGAAATGGGCGAATCGGGAATCCACAGCTAATGAGGAGCAACTGTAAAGAGCCCCGGGTTTCTGTATGTGTGCTTCTGCATGTACAGCTAGAAGTCGGGAGGGCTCGGTTTGGGATTTCGAGGGATCTAGGATCGGTAGACCCAGAGGGAAATGGCATGAGCTTGGAAAGGAGTCCCTCCTTTCTAGGCCCTGCAAAGAACCGCCTGTTCCATGCCGGTGGCGACCTGTTCTCTTGCTGAGCTAGGGGCCGGCCGAGGACGAAGTGCTGCCGAGGAGGCAGGCTGAGGAAGACCAGGGGACACGGGGCCTGGAGCTTCGTGGCTCAGGCTGCTGCCCCGGCGCTCTGATTCTTTCAACACCTCCAAGTCTTTGTAATAAACGGCCTGAGGGCAGAGCCCAGGACTAGCAGCGTGTATGTGAAGTGAGAGGAAGTTGGTGTGCTACGTAGGAACCCCTTCCGGGTGATTATAAACGGGAAAGCAGCCACGCGGGGGGTCCTGAGCGGGCACCCGCCCTGACTGCCTGTATCTTACTGTCGTGTTCTGTTCTCTTCCACCAGCTGATCTACATGATGGCTACTACCTATAACTATGCCGTCTTGAAGTTTAAGAGTCGGGAAGATTGCTGCACTAAATTCTAAATTGCTTAAGGCCAACAAGGAGCTGTAGGGAGCTCTCCTCGGTAGCCTGAAATCTCCCTGACGCCCCAGACTAAAGCCGAGTCTAGGTTGCTGCAGTTTGGTGACAGTAATTTGTAAATAGCTTTAGTCCACTCATTTTGCATTGTAGCCTAATTAGATGCCTTACCCTGAGTGAATTACAAAATGATGAGATCTGGCTATTTCCACGTTGTGAAAAGAATTCAGTTATGTACTGACCTTGGTGAGCATCCGTTAAAAAATAATTCTCTTGAACTTTGAGCAGTATCTCTAAATGAAGTGTTAAAACTTTGTAATACCTGCCTTGTCCGTTATTGTTGCTTGCTTGATAACCAATACCAGTGCTGGAGAGGAGATGGCAGCGAGATGCGTTTTCATCTGGACTTTTTTTTTGTTTTCTTAGACTCTGGAAAAAAGGCAAACATATTTAAAATTTGACTAAAACTTTTTTTAAACTTTTTTTTCTGATTACATGGCTCACTACCAAATACATGCCCCTCCAATTAGCCTGCCAGCTAGAGGACAATGTGAAGAATAAAGGGCACCCTGTTACCTTCTGTGAGACCAGGATCTGTACGTGGGGTGTGCTCTCTGCACCACCTAGTCACCCCTTACCTGGCGTTGTTGTGTTTCCGGTGCGGAGCCCCTGATTCCTCATAGCCAGGTCTCACACCGCACATCAGATTCTGAGGGGAAGAGAAATTGTGCCTGGATCTGAAAGTCTCAAATATGTTGAAAAGGAAATAGGAGGAACCAGAGATGTAGATTTTTGCAGGAAAGATGAGGAAAATGAGAGGGCAAGAAGTGTTGGCTGCCCCCACTGTAAAGAAGAAGCATTTGTACATTTGGGACCTGCACGCATGGCAGTCTTAGAACGAAAACTGGAGGTGCGCCCCTAAGCACGTGCTCACACAGACTGCAGGCTGTGCTTAGAGGTCTTAATTTTCCCATGTTAACTAACTGTATAGTTGATGAGTTACTCAAAATAAGCATCATTCACTTGTAGGCCTTTGGGGAACTGATTTTTATCCACAGAGAGGAAAGATCTTTGCCCCGCACTGATTTTAAAATAAGCATACCAGGTGTTTCCGAACGTCTGTGTTAGTTAAAATTACTCCCAAAGTGGCAAAAACAAACAAACGAAAACCACCCTCTCCTATTTCATTTTTGCTTTTTCTTAACCATAACTTTGGCCATTTTTTTCAGTTCATCGTGTTTGTATACTAACTTTTCTTCAGCCTCTTACTCTTAAGCATACTAGTAGAGCATGCTTCCAGAATCTGATGGCTCTGACAGCAGAATGAGAATTAATACAGAATAACCCTCTCCCTTTTGACAGTAAAGACCGTCTAATCTGCCTAGCAGCTTGCTTTGCCTTCTGACATGCTCACTAGCCATCATGCTCACCCTTCTTTTCCAGATCCACTTCCTCATGATACTGTCTTCTAACTGGGCTTACTTAAAGGATGCAAGCAAAATGCAGGCTTACCAGGATATCAAAGCAAAGGAAGAACAGGAACTGCAAGATATTCAGTCTCGGTCAAAAGAACAACTCAATTCGTACACATAAATGTTTGCCAGAGTGTTACGGCCGACGAACCGACCGCTCTGCCCACTCCTGAGACCGCTGCCCTGCAGTACAGATGTGTATCCCACCAAACAACCTAAACACGTCCCTGTCCGGCTCGAGCTGCTGGGGTGTATTTCCAGGAACACCTTCCAGCAGGTCAAGCTTTTTCTTTAGAGCAGATATTGGAGGTTTCATGTTAGCCATTTTAAAAGGCAACACTTTGAGAAAAGGATGGTTGATCTTTCTGAAATTGGTGGCATGTTCAGGTTTATTGGTAGAGCGATCCTACCAGGAGAGGCGATGGAAATCTGGCCTGTTCCTTGAGAGGGACCGAGGCTGTGCCGCCATCAAGGAACGTGACCATCAATTCACAGACACCATCTGTCCTCCAGTCACTTTACCTATATAGGGCATAAAATGGAATTGGGGTGGGGGGCATTCCATTTCTGATAGCTGACATTTATTAAACTTTGGCTCAAAGATAATGGGATTCTTAACAATTGACTTTTTTTAAATTAGCTGCCTTCCCTACCCCTTGAGTCCAGGCCACATTAATTTCCTGATCCAATTAGAAATCTATTTTTCAATAATGCTAAAAGGAGCTACTATAATTCTGCTACACCTGCTACTGAAGCAGCTGAATTCGGACTCCTTGACAAGCTTTCCAAAATCGATTTCCTTTAAATAAAATGGCCCAGTTGTCATTCTTCCTGGGAAATAAATGTCAGCTCTGCCTTAATGAGTATTCATTTTAAATTTCTAAGAACTTTACAACAGGAGACCCAAATCCTTCATAGACTTTTGTTCCACCAAGGTTTTTCTTAATTAAGAAGTGTTACCTTATTAAAATGACCACCATTCTAAACCATTTTTATGTGGTCTGAATAGCAAGTTTACAGTTTCATACCAACTATCTAAAACCTAATTACAAATAGACCACAGACCTCCTCCTACTTTTATAGACTTGAATACTTAAGTAAATTAGGGTTGGTATTTATTTCATTTTTTAAGTCTTTCCTGGAATAATAAAAGTTCGATGTTCAGCAAAAAAAAACACCTGCTTGAGTTTAAGCCATTTTCAAAAGAAACTTGCCTTCTAAACCATTGTGTTCCAGAACATTAAGTGATTATAGGTATTGGGTATTAGTGACGGTAAACTTTGTGTTGTTCTTTACGAAATGATACATATAACTGTCGGGTGCATCCGTGCTTTTTAAAAGGGGCTGCATAATATAGGGTTAACTATGTACATTCCTGTTAAGAATTAACTTGTGGTTTGGCTGTTTCCTGGATTTTAAAACATATACACGTGCAGAAATGTATTAAAATGAAAGGAAGCATACCTTTATCAAGATGCTATTAAAATTGAACTTCAAGTATAATATTTCATTTGGATTCTTTTTGTTGTTGTTGTTAATGCCTAAAAATGCCTATTTGGATCTTGACTTTTTTTTTTTTTTTTTCAATTGGGAGAAGCTCTCTTTTGTGTAGAACAGTTGTTCCAGAGTAGTGTGTTTTGTTTTCCTGTTGCATGACAGACTTAAATTTTTTTTTTTCCAGCAGTGGAGGTGCTGTTAGAGTCCAGTGTTCTAGAACAGGCAGTGTCTCAAGCCTAATTTTACTTTTCTAATTCTGGTAGCTATTACCAGGAATTTTTGAAAGTTTTGTTTAAGTAGTCTAATATTTTTTATGTAAAGAGCATTAAATTTTGCTATGTATAAATTTTTGTAACCTAACAGTGAATCAATATTTTCTATCAGTGCCAAGGGCTTCCTGTAGTTCTATTCAAGTGTTACAATAAATATTTGTAGATAATAGTCAATACTTGTGTATGCTTATTTTAAAGATCTATTTAGGTGGAAATAGTTGTGGATGTACTAAGAGTAATGCAATAAAAGTATAGCTTCACTCACTTGCCTTTTTACCATACATAAATACTATCTTTCTCTGTCTCTAGTATGGTGTCATTTTTAAATAGTACGCATTATCAAGATTTCACATGTGTATGGAAATCGTGTTTATAGGTGGATGCTACCACCATCTCTATAGTTCTGTGAAGTATAGAAATTTTCTGACTAGCGTCCACAAATGAAAGCAATTATACATGTGGGATTAACACAAAGCTTAAGTGTGGGGAAAGAAAATACAATGTCGAACCTTCCGAAGGGTCCATGTACCCCTGGCTCCTTTACAAGCCCAAGGTAGAAAAGATCTAGCTCCTAAAAACAAAACTCTAGATCTAACAGCTCTCTAAAGCAGCAGAGCTAAGTTTGTTACTTAGGATTTCATTTTACTGTCAGTTTACTTACCTGTTAGCACGATTATGCACTGGGATTTTTGTCATCTGAACTTCCTGAGTGAGGACCAGCTCTTGTCACTTACTGAGACACTGCCGTTTTCTCAATGAGGTGCCACCTTGGGATCCTCGCCCTTCCTTCTTTTCCTTCCTCGGCAGGAAAAGATCAGGACCCCAATTAGTATGCTCTTTGTCACACTACTTAATACCTTCTGTTTTTGTAGCATTTTGTGCAGTTAAGTTACATAACAAACTGTGTGTAAATCCTGTCTAGATGAGATCATAACCAACAGCCACCCAGGCACCCCACATGCAGTCTCTTAATAATTGACAGTAATCCTGCCACAGGGTATAGGAACCTCTAGAGGGTGCAGCAGCAATTTTTCATTTCTCTAACTCGGCCTTATGAAACTTGACTTTCAAATTGGTAAAGAGATGAAAATAAAGTCACAATTTAAGTCCATTAAAAAATGACAACTAAAGATTCCACAATAAAAAACTTGAAAAAAAAATCCTTTCAGGGCTTTTTAATGCTAGGATAGTCCTACTTTTAGAAGATTTAAAAGAAACGATCCCTTTGTTAGTATCTTCTCCTAAAGCACGACCTCTTTCTCTAGTCAGTGTGGGGTTCATCTGTTCTTAGATGTTTGTGCAAAATTTCAAAATGAGTGTTAGGATGAATAAAATTACAGAAAGTTTTGAGGAAACAAAAATACAAATAGAGTTAAGTCAGGCTGGCCCAAGAACATCCTTTTTCCAACCTGTCCCCCAGCCTTCCTCACTGTTTTGATATTTGAACTTGACCCACCTGGGGAAGATTTGAACAAAGATGCATTCAGGGGGTCTTGTCCAGGTGGGAGCGGGCAGGGGAGTTCTCACATGACACATCACGCATCCATAGCCCTTCTAGAGAATGCAGCCATCTGAAAAGGTATATAAGAAATGTCTTCTCTTTAAATGGGATCTGTCCTGATGTGGAATATTAAGAATGCTGCTTAGAATTTAACTTGACTGAAAAATCAAGCTATAAAACAAGTATGGAATGAGTTACTTATACAAGGTCTTTGAAAATACAAGGTGGGGAAAAACTGAGTCACATCAAAACATGTTAAGAAGTTAGCTGAGGGTTCTGGCCCAAGATGGTGACACAGGAGGCCCTTGAACTCCTCCCCAGAATACGGCAAATGTGCCACTACACCCAGATTAATTTTTGATGAAAAAAATGCAACTAGCTGAGCTACTCTTACACATTTGGCAATCAAAAAAATACACACACTGAAATGGGCAAAGCTGAGCCAAGCCCTCACCACAAACTCCAACCCCAACATGATGCCTCACAATCAGCTGGAAGCTGCCAACTGCAAGGTTCTCCCTGAGCATTTAGACCCCACATTTAGCACCTCAACTTTTTTTTTTAATAATTTTTTATTGTTATGTTAATCACCATACATTACATCATTAGTTTTTGATGCAGTGTTCCATGATTCATTGTTTGTATTTGAACAAAGATGCATTCAGGGGGTCTTGTCCAGGTGGGAGCGGGCAGGGGAGTTCTCACATGACACATCACGCATCCATAGCCCTTCTAGAGGATGCAGCCATCTGAAAAGGTATATAAGAAATGTCTTCTCTTTAAATGGGATCTGTCCTGATGTGGAATATTAAGAATGCTGCTTAGAATTTAAGTTGACTGAAAAATCAAGCTATTATACAGAATAGCTTGTATGCAATGAGTTACTTATACAAGGTCTTTGAAAATAGAAGGTGGGGAAAAATTGAGTCACATCAAAACGTGTTAAGAAGTTAGCTGAGGGTTCTGGCCCAAGATGGTGACACAGGAGGCCCTTGAACTCCTCCCCAGAATACAGCAAATGTGCCACTACACCCAGATTAATTTTTGATGAAAAAAATCCAACTAGCTGAGCTACTCTTACACATTTGGCAATCAAAAAAATACACACACTGAAATGGGCAGGAAAAGCTGAGCCAAGCCCTCACCATAAACCCCAACCCCAACATGATGCCACACAATCAGCTGGAAGCTGCCAACTGCAAGGTTCTCCCTGAGCATTTAGACCCCACATTTAGCACCTCAACTTTTAAGACTGAGAGATGGGCTCCTAAAATAGCTAACTTTTTTTTTAAAGATATTATTTATTTATTTGGGAGAGAGACAGAGACCGAGAGAGCACAAGCAGGGGGAGAGGCAGAGGGAGCGGGAGAAGCAGACTTCCTGCTGAGCTGGGAGCCAGACAGGGGCTCGATCCCAGGACCTGGAGATCATGACCTGAGCCAAAGGCAGATGCTTAACCATCTGAGCCATCCAGGTCCCCGAAAAAACCTAATTCTTAAAGCCAATAGGGCTTGTATCCACGAGACCAGACCCAGAAAACTAACGAAGAAATAGTGCTTAACCAGCCCTAGAGGTCTAGCTCCTGATCTTTCCCTGAAAAGGATCTGGTTGCATATATTAAAAGCTGTTGCCTCAGAGTCCAGCTTCTATACTGAGCACACCTCTAGGGGCTGCCTCCTATTGCCAGCAGAGAACAGGGAAGCCAGTGGATGCCTCCTCCATCTGCTCCCCTCTAGCCCACTCCAAAGCACCCGTATCTCCCTGGAAGGTTATGCACATTGTGCCTCAGTTTTAGTAGCTGCCACCCAACATATCCCTGGAATACCTGGCTCTGAGACCCAATGCTGCTTGCATTCAGGAGTTCCACGGGACTGCAGCAAAAGAAAAAAAAAAAGGAAGAAGCAGTTTTTAACGGCCGCAGGAGCAACACTCCCCCAACTCCCGCACCTCCCCGGCCATGGCTAAATACCTCAGCCAAGTGCAGAGGAACTTGGCCTAGGGAAGATGGGAAAAACACCCATCTC